AGGTTCACCTTTGCTTGCTTTGAGGTTTTGTGAGCCGTAGCAAGACTGTCTTTCAGCTTTCTTCAAGGATGGATGAACCCATGTCTCAAAAGAAGGGAACAGAAAGTGGTGAAAGAAGCTTGTATTCCAAATATTTTTTAAAATGATACAGGTAGATCTTGGACTTACAACCGTCCGTTTTAGTGATCATTCAACATTTCAACGGCACTGAAAAAAGTGACCTGTGACCATTTTTCATATGACCATTGTAGCCTCCCCAGGGTCATGTGATCGAAATTCAGATGATTGGCAACTGACTCCTATTTATGACGGTTGTAACGTGATCTCCTTTTGCGACTTTCTGGCAAGAAACCTGTGTCACCAGATTGAGATTTAGGGCTTGGGCAACCTTGAACTATACCGCCTACCGTTGGACTTGAGCGTAGTATACCAAATTATCTGCTGCAATGTCCTACCAGTCAATGACTACTTCAGCTTCAACCGCAACACTACAAGAGCACACAACAGATACAAACTCAAGGTAAACCACTCCAAACTTGGTTGCAGAAAGTACAACTTCAGCAACAGAGTGGTCAATACCTGGAATGCACTATCTGTTATGGTTTGCTGGCAGCAGGTGTGGACAGCTGAGGTCTCGGAGAGCGAGGGCTCAGATGAGGGGCCTGCGTGGGATGCAGAGATGGGGCCAGGACCATCCAGGCAGTGGAATGCTGCCTTCAGAGATTGTGGAGGCTGGCAGCAGTGATGAAGAGGTCCCCGAGGAGCCTGTGCCCAGTGTGCATGCACGAAGGGCTGCTCGAAGGAAAGAGCAGCTGCAGCAACACGGGGGACTCAGGAGTAAGGCTGCAAGGTAATGGCCCCTCCCTTAAGGGATAAAAGCCTGCCTGAGAGACTGGTATTCTTTGCAGGAAGCAAAGAAGTTCTTGCCCTTCAAGCCTTTGTTCAGACTATCTTGGTTTGTGGTTGAAGACTTTTTCTTTGGAATATTTCTTGGCAACTTAATCTAGTGCTTTTGGCAGCCTTGCACAACCTTGGCAAAGCTCATTCTTGTCAGAGACAATTAGTTTTAATAGCCTTTTAACCGTGCATTAACGGAATTCGCAGAGAAGCATTAAAAGGTTTTGCTTTTATCTCAGTTTGGTGTTTGTTTACTTGGAACAAGGTTTTGGGTGAGAACACTACCTGACTCTGTTGTTACATCCTCAAACCCCCCACTCCTTTAACCTCAAACTATCCACTATTGACCTCACTCCATTCCTAAGAGGTCCGTAAGGGGCATGCATAAGCACACCATCGTGCCTACCGTCCCTGTCCTATTGTCCCCATTTATTCATACCTATTTCCTGTATTCTTACTCTGGTTAAACTTATACCTATTATCTGGTAAGAAATTGACAAATCAAATAAATAATAAATAATGTCAACGGGAAGCTAGCATTACTAACTTAACAGCTGTAGTGATTCTCTTAGCAACGGTGGCAAGAAAGTTGTGAAATGGAGAAAAACTCACTTAACAACAATCCCACTTAGCAACAAAAAAAAAATTGGGCTCAATTGTGATCATAAGCTGAGGACTGCTCTGTGATCTGCTGGAGAAATCTCGTAAAAGCAGCGGTTTCTACTCATTGTAGATTTAAGAGTATAAATGGATTGTATTTATGAACCTTTGGGGACTTGATTCTCAAGAACAGTTATGCTTGGCTTTTAAATTCTTTGGTAGACTGTTCCAGGATTTCTCTCGTATATTTGGAGGAGAAATATTGTTTCTGTGACTAACCCTCAATCATGCGTGAAGAATAGAATGATATAAGATTCAAGTGACTCAAGGCAAGGGGGCAGGAGAAGATCTTGGCTTGGCTACAGGTTGGCCAGTAGAGATATATCTCAGATGATGATCGTTCCTGATCCTGGTTACAGACATAGATGGGCTTTGATGTTCCTCACTTTCAAAGAACTAAATCAAGACTCCTTTTGGTCTAATTACATTCAACTCTCTGGTTCTCCTGTTTTACCGTCTTGGGAGTTGGCCTGGTCAATCAGTCAATGGCTGCAATCTGGTGGGGATGATGATGATGATCATGAAGATAGAATAGAATAACAGAGTTGGGAGGGACCTTGGAGATCTTCTAATCCAACCCCCTGCCTACACCACTTCAGACAAATGGTTATCCAGCATCTTTTTTAAAACTTTCAATGTTGGAGCATTCACAACTTCTAGAGGCAAGTTGTTCCACTGATTAATTGCTCTAACTGTCAGGAAATTTCTCTTTAGTTCTAGTTCTTGCTTCTCTCCTTGATTGGTTTCCATCCGTTGCTTCCTGTCCTTCCCTCAGATGCTTTGGAGAATAGCTTGACTCCCTCTTCTTTGGGGCAGCCCCTGGAGATACTGGAAGACGGCTCTCATTGTCTCCCCTAGTCCTTCTTTTCATTAGACTAGACACACCCAATTCCTGCAACCGTTCTTCATATGTTTCAGCCTCCAGTCCCCTAATCAGAGATATGATGATATCCATTCAGTCATGTCTGACACTATGGTCCAGGTCTCTCCACATTGACCAATCTTGGACTACTTCTTTGAGTTTTTTCTATGCTCTGGCTGGGGTCAGCTTTGATGGCATCCAGCCACTGTGTTCTTTGACGACCTGGTTGCCTTTTCCCGCTAAGGTGAAATGATAGAGTTTTGCAAAGTATCAACAAAACCATCCTCAAATCCTCTCATGAGATTTTGCTGCACCCACTAACATCTCAGCTGATTTGAGATTCTCATGGTAGATGTGTATGGACATCTATGGAGATTCTCCGTCCTCCAGGTCATGGGTTGTCCCAAAGGTGCTTTTTCAAGAGGCAACTGGACTTTCTGGTTTTTTTCTTTTGAAGATGTTTTGCTTCTCATCCAAGAAGCTTCCAAGACATTTCGCTTCTCATCCATGAAGCCCACATCCAGTCAGAGCTGGAGGAGCTTCTTGGATGAGAAGTGAAACGTCTTCAAAGAAAAACCAGAAAGTCCAGTTGCCTCTTGGAAAAAGCACCTTTGGGACAAGTGTATGGACCTTTTCATGTTTGTAGATACTGGATTGCAAACTCTTACCCTGTGAAGCACAATGCATATTGTTGATGGAAAGTGAACATGTGAATCTCTTTCGATCACAACTCTTATCTCATGTTCTTTAGAAGCAAGTGTGTCCATGGGTTACGTTTTTGGTGGAGGATGGTCTTTCAAGAAGAGCTTAGGTGAAGGATGGAGATATATCACAGTCAGCTAGTAATCTTGGTTAAAAATAAGGACCGTAACTTCAGTCCTGGAAGCCTTGGAATATTTCTAATCACCAGTTCACCCTGACTTCAGATGGATTTTGTCTTCTGCAAATGTCAGAAGAAACCGACACGTGCAAATCAAGAGGCTACATTGGCGGAACAACAATAAGCTGTGTTGAATTTCGATTTTATAAAAGTTTACCTTGTCTTCCATTTTGTTTTTGGTTCTTCTTTCTGTTTTGTTGGAAGGTTTCATAAGGTTTTTTTTTTTCTTTAATGGAATGGTTCTAGTTAGTCCAGTGAACTGTGGCGCCAGCATCTGCTTTTGAAGTCACCATTATAGTTTAGGGAAAGCAAATGATAGCAGGCTGATAAGCAGATGCTACCCAGAAGAGCCGTAGCTAAAAGAGAAATGAATGCGAGCTTTAAACAAGTGTTAGTTCCATAGAATGTCCTCGTTCTGCTTTCTCCGCGGTCTGGGAGATAAGCCCATTTGGAACTAATGTAGCGTAACTGTGGCAAGCAGTGAGGCTCAAAATTGGGGATCACCAGATTACAGATCACGTGTAGATCCCTCTTCCTCCTCCTTTCCTTTCCTCCTTTTCCTCCATTCCCCATACCCCTCTCGCCTCTAAGCACTGATGGTATTAACTAGTGGGGTGATGAAACATCTACAAGAAAACAACCAAGTTCTGAAAGCACCAAGGTCCCACAGTCTCCCCTGACCCCTCCTCCTCCTCCTCCTGGATGAAATTAGCATCAACAATGCTCTGTTGTTGTCCTATGATTGCTAACTTCAAATTGGCTAGCTCAAATTAGCTAGCTTAATTCATCCCAAATCCAAGAACTATTACTCACGTGGAATTAAAATTCGGCAAACTTGGGGTTTCTTCACCACGGTTGTGCCGCTGTTACAGTCAAGTGATCCTCATATCCAGTGCTCCCTGCCAGCCTCCCAATAGAAGAGTCAATGGGGAAGCCAGCAGGAAATCGGAAGTCACTTCCTCTCCTGCTGCTATTTTGCCACCCATGGACATTCTGTGTCTCTGTTTAGGTAAGGAGATATCACTGAAAGGGTGACCCAGTTGGTCACTGGTTGTCCATCTAGCGTGGGAAATGAGGAGTCTGGACAGTTCCAATGTATGTAAAACTTTATTGCAAGTTTAAACTCTCTATAAGAATCTGAACTACTAACGGAGAAAGCAAATTGGCAGTAGATAAGAGTCAGTGAAATTCAAGAGGGTAGGACTTTGCTCTCTTCTGGGTGATGACACACTTAAGACTGATGACATACTTAACCCTTCCCTCAGGCTCAGCCTGGTCATCTCCTTAGATCAGGGCTGTCAAACTCATGCTGTCACAGCAGCATCATGTGACATATCCGGCCTGTGGGCCATGAGTTTGACACCCCTGTCCTACATTGTCTAGTTTAAAAATAATTTTCTAACCATATCTGATACAAAACCTTGATAGGGTAGGTGTCCGAGTTGAAGAATGCTACTGTAGATTTTCCACCAGGTTGAACTTCGTTATTCATCTGATCTGGTAGGAGAAAGGGTCAGCTAGCTGGTCAGTAGTGGAAGATCCATTTTATGTGCAAGAGATTCCAAAGTGCAGTCTTCCAGGTAAGCCTTGGAAGCACCTGGAAAACTCAATTTAAAAAAATAGACCGGTGTATTCTTGTGCAGTGGAAAACACACTGTTGTAGCAACATGTCACAAACGTTTCTTTTTCCCCTACTTATAGGATGGCTATTTTTCCCACCGGCCAAAGGAGAAGACGCGAACAGACAGCAACAATGAGAACTCTGTCCCGAAGGACTTCGAAAACATCGACAATAGCAATTTTGCTCCCCGGTCCCAGAAGCAGAAGCATCCGCCAGAACTGGTGAAAAAGCCCATCAGTGCACAGAAGGAACGCCTGCGGAGAAAGCTAGAACAGGAGGAGAAAGCCAAGGAGAACTCTGTCCTCAGGAAGAATGTCCATGAGCGGCTGCCCTTGGACAATTCTGCCCCTAAACCCAACAACAATGGCAACTCCCTGAAAGACACCCCAAGGTCCCTCGCGCAGCCTCATATGAAACGGAGTGGGAACGGTTCTCCTGAGCTTGGATACGATCAGCTGCCAAAATGTGACATTTCAGGCAAGGAAGCCCTCTCGGCTCTATCCAGGGCTAAATCCAAGCAGTGTCGTCAAGAAATTGCCGAGACCTACTGTCAACACAGGCAAGGGAAGCTGATGCCCGAGCAGGTGACTCGTTTCTGCCCGCTGGAAGGTAAGCTGGAGGAGAAAAGGGAGAAGGGTCTGCTATACAGCGTGTCTGTTATAAAGAGCCATTATGGCGCAGTGGCCAGAGTGTAGTATTGCAGGCTAACTCTGCCGACTGCCAGCAGTTTGATTTTCACCGGCTCAAGGTTGACTCAGCCTTCCATACTGGGCTCCTAGGGCCGGAGGTGGTGCAGTGGTCAGAATGCAGTATTGCAGGCTAACTCTACCAACTGCCAGCAATTCAATTCTCACCGGCTCAAGGTTGACTCAGCCTTCCATCCTTCCGAGGTGGATAAAATGAGGACTCAGATTGTTGCGGGACAAGAGGCTGACTCTGTAAACTGCTTAGAGGGAGCTGTCAAGTACTGTGAAGCAGTAGATAAGCCTTAAGTGCCATAGCTATTGCTATCTTAGGTTTGTGCCTTGAACAAAAATCATTGCAGATTAGAGTTGATAATATCCTGACATTGTAATGCTTGCTGAAGGAGGAAAAAGGGTGCAGTTCAAATCCAGTTCTGGTCACCATGATGCAAAAAAAAATGCCGAGGGCCCAGAAAGAATGCAGAGAAGAGTAACTAAGATGATGAAGGGTCTGGAGGCTAAACCATATGATGAATGGTTGTGGGAATTAGGTATGTTTAACAAAGAGAAAGATTAGGGGTAGCATGATAGCTGTCTTCTAGTACTTGAAAGGGCTCTCACAGAGAAGAGGCAAGTGACTTATTCCTCCAAGTTGCTGAAGACAAGAAAGAATGGGTGGAAACTTGCTAAGGAGAGATCCAATCCAGAACTAATGAGAAATGTCCTGACAGTAAGAACAATTAACCAATGGAACACCTTTCTTCCTGGGGATGTGAGTGCATCATGGCTGGAAGTTTTCAGGACAGGATTTGTCCAGGATGATATAAGGACTCCTGCTCACAGTTGGACTAGAAGATCTTCAAAGTCCCTTCCAGCCCTATGATTTTTAAGTTGTGGGGTAGACAACAGCCCTAACCTAGAGGAGTTACAAAATTTTGTCCCCTCGATTCTTAATCTCACCCCTTTTGCAGCCCCGGTTCAAGTTGTACTCCATCCTGGAGATACAACCATTCCTTCTTCAAGGTCATCCTCCTCCCTGAGTTAAAAGGGAACAGAGAAACTCGGGTTTGTAAGGGGAAGGTGCCTTGGGAGGGACAATCTATTCAGGAATCGATTGGGACGATGAAATCACCCAATTGGTGGCCCGTACCTGCTTTTTCGCTAAAGTGGAGGCCGAAGGCATCCAGTATAAACAGCTGTACTCAAAAGCAGTCAGAAATTAAAACTGAGTTGCGTTTTGTTTTTGAATTTTAACAACTGGTCAAGAATTTGGAAGAGAGTTTGGTGTAGCCCTAAGAGATCCGGCTAGAAACCAGGAGGTGGGCATACAGCTAGCTGGTCACAGTCAGTCTCTTTTGGGGTGGAAAAAAAAATACTTTATTCAAAGAAGTCCCTCTCTTTCAAACTTTAGAAAGGAAGTAATGGCAAACCCCTTTCAAGCCTTGTCAAAGAAAGTGCAGGGAGCTGTCCAGGTGATCTCAAGATTGACTCAAAGGGACCCCCCCCCCCAAAAAAAATATGAAAAGAACTTGAGGGACTTTGAATTGACAGGAATTAAAACTTTCCCAGTTAATTCCATGTTAGGACCTCTGCTAATGTTGACCTTGAACAATCAATGTCTTTTAAGCAGGCCAAAGGTACACCAGAATCTGTCTTCCTGTTTGCCAATGGTTTCCTGCAACTCTAAAGTTCCATCTCACCAAACCTCCACCCCCCAAATTTCTCCATCACTTTGGAACAGGAGAAGAAAGAAGAAATCAAAGCAGAATTTGGATACCTTTGGGGTGTTTTTTTTTAAATCATTTTCTGCCTTATTCACATTACTGTTGCTTTTCCTTTCCCTTGGCATATTTAAACGGCTGGGGCAATTTTCATTTAGTCCCGTCTCTAGGGATAATGGATAGCGAAGAGAAAAACCAACTGGAGTGTAATATTTAGTATTTATTCTTGGTCTCATGCTGGTAGCAAATTAGTTCGCCAGACTTCATCATATGTCCTCAGCAGGCACATATGTAATTAAAAGGAATGTGCGTGGAGCTCACAGTAGCACAAAGCATTTCCAGCGCTCAAAAGTCCATATGCTCCTTTGGGAATGCAGACCAGGGCAATGTAATTATGGCAGGGCTAAATACATGTAGGAGCTCGTTTGTTTTTTTGGTTTTCGGTTAAAAAATGATTTTCTAATCTGAAGCAAAATTAACCGTTTTTTTTTTACTGAGCTTTGGAAAAATGAAAGTACCCTAAACCTCAACTTACAATCATTCATGTTAGGGACTGTTCAAAGGTACAGTGACACTGAAAAATGGGATGTGGCAGTACACTGCACTTAGCAACTGTTTCCGCAACAAGCAAAATCAACGGGGAAAGCCAGATTTGCTTAACAACCATGTGCTTTACTTAACAACGAGAGTGATTTGTAACTGTGGCAAAAGGCGCAAAACACTTAAGAATCGTGTCGCTTAGCATGTTGGAGATTCTGGAAGGTGAAGTCCACAAGTCTTAAAATTGCCAAGGTTGGACATCCGTGTTTTGGAGCACCTGATTCCTACTTGGAAGATTCTCTTAACTTCCAAGTTAGAGAGCAACTTTTAACGTGCAAAACTTTTGCCAGGAGAATATTTCCAGTTTTCTTGCCTACCTGGTCATAAACATCGCCAACTTCCCAAAGTGCAAACTTACCTGTTGTTTGTTGGGCATAAAACGGATTGTGAGAATAACCTTGGGAAAAGGAGGAAGGGCTTGCGGTTAAGAATAGTCAGACGAGAGATATTTCAGAACGAAGGAGAATGGAAAGAATCTCAGCAGGGACACATACACCCCAGTTCCCTAGAAAGCAAAAGGGAGGAAGCGTAGCGGGTGGGGGGCTTTCAAACTTGTACAATCCTGTAACTGTAACCTGGCAATAAATTTAGTGTTAGTGCTCCTAGTTTTGGTTTCCTGTCTGGACTTCCTCAAAGGACTGACACTTTCTAGAAGACAGATGGCTGCACGGACCTAAAAAGCAACCCTTGGGCCTGGCAGATCTAGAGGCCTTGTAAATTAACAGGAGAACTTCCTTGAAAGATTTCCTTAAAAGGATTGCCATCTGGTTAAAGAAATCCCAAGTCCGTGTGAGTGTGTTAATGAAATCTGAATACATTTGCATATGAATTATCGGCAGCTTTGACAGAAGCGCAAAGGAAGATCGCGGTTATGGTCTTTCAGGTGGCATAACAAGATCCTAGCATGGTAACATGCAGGTTAGAGCAGACCTCCTTCCATCAGAGGTCCTGCCCATCTGTTGGGATGACATCCTGGGAATTTCCAAGCCAGATGGGCCCGTGAAATTCCATGATTCTGAAGCATTGTAAGAAATTGAAGTGACAGCTAAAATCTTCTCATTACGGCTTAAAGCTCCATGATTATTGATGGGTAGGTCCACCAAGACTGGTCCTGGT